CGCTTCCCTGCGCGTGCTTCCAGCCTTGCTAAATCTCTCTTTCCCCCCCCCCCCACCCTAATCCGGCGAGTTAGGTACTTTAACTAATATCGTCTTAGTAAGCTAACCCTGTCGTATCAATCAGGTGGGGCTACAGTACGAAAATTCGCTCATTTAAGCCTTTCGGAGTCGTGCCCTTAGATATTACTGATCGCTCGTCTGCTTCGGCAGACTAGTTCTGGACGCTTGCTTGCCTTAATTAAGCGCAACATTCTGAGGGCACTGATGCGTGCGGTTATCTTGGGCAGAACGTGCTTCGTAGCATAACAAGTTAGTGCAGCTGCGTTTTTCTTTACTATTAAACCATAAAAGTACAAAACGTGCTGAAGGCATGCCTAATTAAAGCCAACTGAACGTCCATCATATAATTGCCGAGGGTCCTTTCCTATGTTGTATCTAAAGAACTCTCAGTATTTTCGGATATATTTTCAACTGTTGACTGCAAAAATAGCTGCTTATTTCATCTCCAAGGGCGGGGTTTTAATGATAAACCGCGAAGCTGTAGGACGCTAATCGGTGCTATTTAGTGTATATCTCGACATTTGAATGTGCTGCTTGTTTCACGCAGCAATTTTAACAGACGAGTTTGATCCCAATGCTCAGTTCAGTCTTGCCTCCAAAATCCACTTAACATAAACTGAAGGGTTTCCTTTGGTTTAATGAGGTTTTTTGATATGTGCTCCGTATTTTATCGTTTTTGCGTTTGAAAACAGGGATTTCCATCGATCATTCCTTGGAAGACGGGAGGCGAATTGGACACTGAGAAACGGCTGCGAGTAAACCAGAGGAAGTCGGACTGTCAGCTGTTGGTATACTGGACAGCAGTAGTCACTCATGTCCGAAGCCTAAACCAGGACCTCATACGATTTAGACGGGGGCCATCAAATCAGTAACCGATAAGATTTCAAAGTTACACACCTACTTTCCCTGAAATATACTGATACTGAGCCCGTGGCTCAGTGGTTAGAGGCGTCGGACTTCTAACATGCCGTGGGATCGAGCTCCGGGTGTCCCACACTACGGGGTTGGGTATGACTGGCTGACGACGGCTAATAAGCCAGAAGTGGCCGCTCCAGTCCTCCTTGTCATTTTCGGTAATAACATACTGCCTATATCATACGTCGCTGTGCGCTTGCTGGTTGGACTTGCGAGAGAGCCCGTAAGGCACAACGGTACGAGTGAATTCCGTAAGAACGATCGGTGAGCATCCCCCACCCCCTACCATGAGTACTTGTGTTAGTAAAATCGAAGAGGCAATTTCCAAGAAGAAGTCACGAGGAAGGAGGCATGATAGCTGGAACAAGTGCATTAGTAGCCTGGGGTTTCGGATTCTCACTCGCATACATCATCCGAGACAGAGTCAGATAAGGGTAGTGGGTTGCCCAAGTGCTGCAGTATTCATAGGACATAGATTTAGGCCGCTACATGCCTATCAAAGTTGGCAGCTCGCGGGTGAATCACCGTTCCACCGGTCAGGTGTTGCAGTATGCAGTTGCCATGCCACTGCCTGCCGGCCAGTATTATCGGCTTCCACGCTCATTGTACGCAGTCAAGTTGCTGACTACCGGATTTCGTCATCCGCGTGGATTCTTTGGCAATTTGGATTGACGACATTGACACCAGGAACATTGGTCGCCCTCGCGCTCTTCGCACGGTCAATTACTTTGCCTAGGCAATCTGCCAGCATGGAATATGGAGTGGGGAGGTCGTTGCGTTTATTGATTGATTGAGGACCAGAAAACCATGACTTGAGCGATTCGTGGCTGGCGCGGTTGCCGCCTCTGGCGAGACATTTGACTTCATCAAGCTTGGATGTGCGGTTGGGTCCCGTCGCGTGAGTCGCGACGCTAGCTTAATAAGAATATTGTACCTGCGATCGCGTCTCCTTCTTCGAGGCCAGTAAGCTAGTCATCCAAATATTCAGACAATTCGAACAAGAATCTGCAACCCGTTACTCATGCGATAGGCTTCGAGGAATGTCGACAAATGTCCCAAGGCAAAACACAATCGTTTCTAATCGATAATTGTCAGCTCCGCGTGAGTAAGTACCTCCAATTACAGACGATACGGTGTCCGTCTATGACTCGCACGGTAGGTCATTTGATATAACTGATTGCTTCAAGGTCAAACAGCAGTTTTCCCGTTGTCAGTCCTAGGCGCAGAGTCAACTGTTAACACAGCATTGGCCAGACGTAGTCATTCCAGTTTCCCTCGTTTCTGCTGGTAACCTTGGTTGATTATTGATTTTTCTCAACTGTGATTGCTCGCAAAGTCTGACCGCTAGAGTTTTTCAGCTTAAGATGATTTCAGACAAGAGACTCGATCAGCTGGATTGGCATTTGTTCTGATTCCCACTTTACGTTAAAGTCTCAGTCCTAATCGTGTAACTTGTACAATGGCCAAATTCCAGTAACTGTTTCGATTGTCCAGCGCATCCAAAGGCGTGCTTGCAGAGGGCTTGTTTCTCCACCCGAGGAACTGTTAGTCTTTCTACATTTTCATAGTAGGGGGAGAGGAGAGATTTACGTCGGGTAGGAAATGGGAACATGAAGATGGTGAGAGAGTGAGAGAGATAGTTAGGGAGAGAGAGAGAGAGAGAGAGAAAGGAAGGCGATCGACCCCGACAGTACTTGTCATCTGATAAGGTCTAATTTGTCTTCTTCGAGCTATGCGTCCGACTGTAATGCTTAAGGCAACCCTTACGGTAAATATTACGCAGATAGGACTTGTACACGAGTGTCATTTGTTAGGCGGACAGTTTGCGTCAAATCAGCCACAAACTGCTGATTGAAATAATCGAGTCCAGTTGTAAAACTAAGCATCATGCAGCGTAATTCTATAATAATTCAGTTACCACAGGATACCGGCTTCCGAACTAGCCTCTTTACGGCTCTGTGCAAAAACTATACTCTGTAAACAAATGATTATTTAAGTAGCATGGATTTTCCTCATCGATTCTCGATGCCCCTAAAAGTCCAATTAAATTTCACGGAAGACGTGCATAAAAATATTCATTCTCTTGCGCTTTCGGTAGACAATTACGTCTTCTTCCAAGTTCATACTCAAAGGAAGGGTATCGTTCGGTTTTCAAAAACTTTTTTCAATTCCCAAAATATTTTGAACCCACTCTACCGTTACACTTGGAATCAGGCTTTCCAAACTACAAGCTGTATATTTTCCGCGTACGGAAAACTACATAATTCTCTACGGTAATAAAGGGGGATCATATAGCGTTCATTAAATTTAGCAATGGAGTTGATCCAAATCGTTAACTTTACAAGCCACATTGGTAAATGCAGAGACATGACGATTTATGAACGGCCATTTCCCGGGATTTAAAAGTCCCACAATTAGGATGGTTTTTAAAGCCGAATTATATACAAACTTCGAGTGTATAATTTGAAGATGGGGTAATTTTCTACCGAATGAGCGAAAGGATGAATATTTGTGTGTATGTTTTCCATGCAATATAATGGAACATTTGAGGGCATCGAAACTCAATGAGAAAAATTCATGCTACTTTAGTGGTCATTTTTACAGAGTCTAGTTTCTGCATGTCGCAAGAAAAAAGTTCTTTCGAAAGCCGGCGTCCGAGGGTAACCGAATTATTATAGAATTATGCTGCACGAGGATTGCGTTTACAACCTTACTTAATTAATCGTATGGAAACGAAAACGCATTTCGGACTTTTTGCTTGACATTTCATGAGTTAGCCCACCTACTGTAATCAAGTCCTGCAAAGATTGCTGCAGCAATCCCCTACGCGGCCCAGGTTATCCAGTCCTGTTATAGCGTGATTCCTACCGAAGTTTTTGTTTCATGCCTTATCTCGCCCTTCAAAATATTGTTACTTGCTGAAGAGGCGCACAGTGAAGAAGCAGCGTCACCATATCTCCTCTGGAATGGTCACCTGCGATGGGCCGGCGATTTTCACGATCAAGAAGTTTTGTGGACAGAACATGCCGGTATGTAGGTGTACAAAGAGGGCTCGCTGAATGTCCGGCAGCAGAATTTCACAATATTTCCACTACGGCAGGATGTTGACCTTTGAAAAGGGTCTCTTTTCGGCCATTTGCATGAACCGCACCCGGTAAAAATGACTACTTAAGTAGCGCGAGTTTTTCCTGCTGCTTTTCGGTACCCTTACAAAGTCAAATATGCTTTATCGAGTTTCACTTCTAAACGACATGCCAATTCTACGTTATTTTCAGAAACAATTTGCAAATTAACTTCCACTTGCACTCCGTAATTTTATGTTGTACTCTTTTGTCGATTAAAAAAAGCATTTCCTGAAAATTAGGTGAGCGACCTTCGTAACCAGGCGCAGTTAAAATCTAAGCGCAAAATGACCTCAGATATGATGTCCCACTTATTAGTAATGTCATTGTTGATTGAAACTTGTTAAAAGCATAACCAGTTCATTGGTAGTGGCGCTGGCAAAACAGCCCGTGATGCAGTTCCTCTTAACCAAACTAACACTAATAATGTAGACATTTGCTCGTTAAGTGGACTCTTTAAAAGAAATCGCAAAGTTATTCAGCATTAGGGTGTCTTTGGAATATTCTGGTTCTTCCGTAGGGGATTAAGGTCCAGAATCAACTGCCGATTCATTTCCCACTCCTCCGACCAGCGTTCGCTGCACCTAAGTCCCTCCTCGCAAGCCATCTCAGCGCTTTGCATCTCAGCTTGAAGATAATGCAGGAATTTCTGAAATAACAAAACACACCCTCCGCTTAGATCTACTTAAATATGGTTAGCAATCCGTTTTTCCTTTAGACGCAGATGTATATTAAATTTGAAATAGAAGGTGGTCAGTAGACGTCCACAGTCCACACAGGCACAGTTAGTAACCAGTCTCATAAACTGTTAACCAAAATCGGGAGATGCGTTTTTCCTTAGACGACGCAATCCTGTGTTATTTTGACAAATTGGAGTGATATCTTTTAAGGGCACTTTCTTTAAACCATCTGCAAAAACCGCATTTCGTAAAAAAGACTACAGATGTACCGTGTGCGCTTTTACCATCGACTTTTGATGTTTTTACAAATTCAAACATATTTCATAGAAACCCCCAGAAATACTATTTATCATACTCATTTGGTAGAAAATCATTCCTTCTTCAAATTCTGTACTGAGAGAAAGAGCGTCATTAGGTTTGAGAAAACTTTTTCCAATTTCGGACTAATTATGAACTCGATCTGCCGTTGCACCTGAAGTTGTGGTGCTAACTCGTGAAATGCTAACCAAAAATCTGAAATGCGTTTTCAAATCGAAAAGATTGTTTAAATAGGGTTTTAATATTAGTCACCGAGCAGCGTAATCCCATAATAATTCAGTTACCTGTATCATAATGTAATATGTACAGTAGGTGTGCTAACCGTGAACTGTCAACCAAAATTCAGAAATACATTTTTAACTTGAAAAGATTGCTTGAGTGGGGTTGTAATATTAATTACCATGCAGCATAATTCCGAAATATATCAGTTGCTTCGGGACGCCAGCTTTTGAACGAAATTCTTTCATATTGACCCAACTGTGAAAAACTCGGCGCCTCGGTGGGATTCGAACCCACGCAGTTAGGGGAAGGCTTTAGCGCAGCCAACGCTCTAACCACCTGAGCTACGATGCCCCGCCGGACGACGCGAGTTTAATCACATTTGGGTCAAGTTACCCGCCCAACCTACTGCAACGTCTGGAATCCACCAAATCTGATACGGTAAGTTGACTGCCCAAGCAGGATTTCCTAAGTAATTCACCTAAAATCCACCAGCTGACTACCAGGCTCGCATAATTCATTGATATTTTGGCAGATTTCGAATAATTCATATTGACCCAACTGTGAAAAACTCGGCGCCTCGAGGGGATTCGAACCCACGCAGTAAGGGGAAGGCTTTAGCGCAGCCAACGCTCTAACCACCTGAGCTACGAGGCCCCGCCGGACGACGCGGGGACCGACTGCAAAAAATCACGCTGTAAAAATGGTCCCTTAAGTAATGCGGATTTTTCTCATTGATTTTTGATGCCTTTATAAGTTCAGATATACTTCTTGGAGAACGTGCATGAAAATATTCATTCTTTCACGCATTTGGAAGAAAATTGCGTCTTTTTCAAATTTTGCACTTTAAGGAAGGGTATAGTTCGGTTTTTAAAAACTTTTATAATTCCCAAATGATTTCAAACCCGACTTGCCATTGCACTCGCATTTAAGGGTTCCAAACTATAATTTGTGTATTTTCCGTGTACAGAATATCGTACATTTATATGCGCTGATAAGGGAAGATCATACAGGTTTCATAAAATTTAGCAGTATATTTGGGCCATATTATAGGCTCTACAAGCAACATAAGAAAATGCAGAGACAATATGTTTTATGAACGAACATTTCACGGTCCAAGAAAATTTCATAATTGGAAACGTTTTTAAAAACGGATTATACCCTTCCGCCAAGTGCACGGTTTGAAAAGGTTATAACCTTCTTCTAAATGAGTAAAAGAATGAATATTTTTGTCCAGGTTTACTACGAAATATGTTGAAGTTTATAAGGGCATCGAAAGTCGATGAGAAAAATGCAGACTACTTAAGTAACCATTTTTACGGGACACCAGCTTTTGAACGAGCCTCTTTTCGGTCGCCTGCAAAGACTACATAATTAGAATAAATTTTTCTCACCGGCTTTCGACGCCCTTATAACTTCAAATATATTTTATAGAAAACAGGCATAAAAACATCCATTATTTTACTCATTTGGTCGAAAATTACGTCTTCTTAAAATTTTATACCTAGAGGAAGTGTATAATTCGGTTTTAAGAAGTTTCTAATTATGAGACTTTTTCGGGTCGTGAAATGCCCTTCCACAAAACACCTTGTTTCCCTATTGACAAATGTTGCTTTTAAAGTTTATAATATGGCTCAAATCCACTGCTACATCTTAAAATCCCGTAAAGTCTCATTTTACTAAAGAATAGAAATGCATGACTTTCTGTGCGGGAAAAATATACAACTTGTGGTTTGGAAACCCTGAATGCAACTATAACAGCAGATCAGGTTCAAAATTATTCGGGAATTGGAAAGGTTTTTTAAGTCCAAAATAACCCTTTATTCAGGCAAAAAATTTAGAAGACGCAATTTGCCGCCAAATGAGTAAAAGAATAAATATTTTATGCATGTTTTCTATACGCAAAGGAGGGAGTGCCAAAAAGAACAAGGGCGACCGGGGTGGCTATCCATGCTTTACTGCCGCCTTCTGATCAGGTTACAGAGCATGTCCGCCGCTTTGCGCCGTGAGGCTCAGTCAAGAGCCCACGCCGGCGTTCGCATCGCGACTATTACTTATGCGGACAAGAAAGCAGGACGGTCTGTGAGGATCGCCTTGACCTCTGCCGGGATCACCGCTTTCACCTGTACCCGTATAGGGTTTTCAAAGGCATTGCCTATTACGCTTAAAATATACTGACCTATACTGACCTATGTTGTTAGAATGTTTTTTTTTGCCTACGAGACATGTTCCGTCCCCCTTCGCCCTGAATCGCCCTTTCACCGGCAATCGCACAGCGATCAATTTTCACGGAGAGAAGAACCGACAAGGTCAAGGAAGATTACTATGTCACACTAGGCCTTTTCAGTCAGCCGTACCTAACCTTTCGTCTCTATGATATGGGGTTCGCACCCCAAGTTTTCGGTGATTAAGCATCAGACAATCGAATTTGCTGCCCTCTTGATACTGTTATGGTACGACCGGATAGAATTTCTGCCCCCTATCTGAAATCGTTAAGACGTAAAAAAGAACTCCTTTACAAGCTTAGCTTACGTGATAGCCTTAAGGACGTTACCGTCTTAATAAAAACAGAGATTGACAGACTAAATAGACTGTTTATCAGCCAACTTTTTTCCTCTTCTTTTTGGACACCCTCTCAAAAGTCAGACACATCTCCGGTCTCTAAAGGATGGCCTAAACCATGTCCTAGCGTGGTCGGAGGAAAATGGTCTCCTAATGAACAACCAAAAATCCGTTCAGTGTATTTTTTGACTGTGGCCCTCTCCTAACCCTGATTCCTCTTACATTCTTCCTGACGAAGTATCCTCTTTCAGGTACCTCGGCGTTACTTTGTCCTCAAATCTTTCTTTTTCCCTCCATATTGAGTCCCTATTTATTAAAGTTCGTAAACTTCTTTACTACATACGTCGTTTACGTTCCTACCACACACCTCAACCCTTAGTCTGGCGATTCATTTATGTCTGCATTCTTCCTCTTATCCTATACTGTTCTCCTGTCATTTCTCCTGCTTTGCTAAAAAAGGATCTTTTAATTTTGAAACGAGTCCTCCGCATGCTCTCTTCTGCTGCTGGTGTTTCTTATCTTTTTTAGTCGACACTTTCTTAAAACGACTATTCAATGCGGTCAAGCAATTTGCTGGTCGAATTCTAAATGACGTTGCCCATCCCTAACATTCCGATCTTATGTCTGCGAAGTCTTCCCGCCCGATGCGCCGCAACTTCCGACTTATATCCTGTCGCACATCGGCTTATCGAGCTTCTGTATTGCCATTCCTAGCGCGCTATCTTACGTGCGAAAAGACAGAAATACAGAAGCTAAGACTTGAACTATCCCCATATTAATCGTTTTTTTGTGTTAAACTTTGACTCTTGAATAATCTATTAACTTATTTACTGCCCATAGTGAATTGAGTCAATATTTGCTGAAAATTTTGAACATACGATTTCAAAATAAAGCAAATTCCTCTCTTTCTCTTCTATGTGCATACTATGCCTAGTCTAATCGACTGGGCGCATTAGATATACGTATGGCACAAGTCTACTACCACTATAAACGCAGTCACGCGCAGGTCATCGGGCCTGCTCTCAGCCTACCGGGGGGGCCCACGGTGGACCCTGTCGGTCGCGACGGTCGGACTGTCATGACTATACTACGGACTGCCAGGCAACGATAATTTAAAAGGCAATTTGGCGTGCATGCGTCTGCCTTCGATATATTCTCTTCAGGCCTGTACATTTATATGGTCTGTATCACAGACCTTTCCAGCAGTTGACACCCGTGTACTGTTCTCCACCAGTCCCATCCTATACGAAGAGGGCGAGGACAAACTACTAACTCAGACCACCTATATATGTATTTACTCATTCACCTGCTCCTGTGGGGCAGAATATATTGGTCGCACGAGCCGGCGTTTGTCCAAAAGAATAAAAGAACATCTCCCAGCTTGGTTAGGAAAGGGTTAAATAAAGAACATCAACAGCCCAATTCTCGCGCACATGGTGGACACAGACCATGGTGTAGACGCCAGAGAGGCCTTCAGAGTGATTTACAAGGTCCCATCAAGCTATCCAAAACTGCTTGGACAGCGCTTGTTGGCTACGGCAGAGGCGGCTGCAATCAGGCTACGGGGACCGGTCCTATGCGCACAGAAGAACCTCATACAGGTCCCACAGTTACCATGGCTCAAAGCCACCAAGCCAGCCACTCGCATGTAATTACCTTCGCCGGGACCCACCTTCTCCCTGGCGCTGACTGGAATTGTGGTGTCTCACTCTCCCCCTCCGCTCCCCAAACCCGACCTATGGCTTAATTATTTACTTGCCGAAACCTTTAGTTCATTACTTCAATAGCCATATAAATGTAGAGGCGTGAAAAGAATTTATCGAAGGCAGACGTATGCTCGTCAAATTGCCTTTTGAATTTTACAATGGGAATTTGCGCACAAGTCTACTACCACTATAGAAGAAACCACGCGCAAGTCTTCGGGCTTGCTCTCAGCCTACCGGGGGGCCCACGATGGACCCCGTCGGTCGCGACGGTCGAACTGTCATGACTGTCAGGCAACGATAATTTAAAACAAAGTATGAAAAACACGTCCTCCTACGGAATGTAGGCCCTGTAGGAAGATGCAACAAGTGCTTAGACTCTGGCAATCTACTGTTAAATATACAGTTTGGCAAGACCGACGTACCTGCATCGTGTCTCGCATGCATTCAATCGCAACTGCATGGGCCTCCGTGTTCTTTCCGCAGGAGAACCTGTACCTCACATCTCGATCTTCAGGAGGTTTCGGCTGAAATTGTCTGGCACGGCTGTGTGTGACGCTCATTCGGGCACTGGCAGGTTGAGGGGCTGTTTCAAAAAAAGGCATCAATCCGAAACTCGAGGCGAAAGAAGTTGCGCATTTATAAGTTGATGGAGAAATAGTACTAACCACCCCCGGGTTCGTATCGGCGATAACATTTTAATGCAGTGAGAGAAAGTCTTTAATTATGCGAAAGAGCCTTTGTGAATGTACTTAGCGCGAACCAGCAACCACTTCTACTTATCGAATATCAACAGCTCAACTATCTCGAGAATCAGTAAGTTTCTCCAAGTCATAAAGTCGATGGTCTTTAACCGTATACCTAAAACGTTGTGAATTTTGCTAATTTGCCCAGCCTCTTTCGGAAAATGTTCTGTTTTGTGCAGATTAATGTTTCAAGTGATCTTGTCAGGCAAGATGATTTTAAATTCCAACGAAACTCAACATTGCATTGTATTGGGACAATTACCTACGTTTATAGTTGTCCTAGGCTTAGTGTATGCATCCGAGCACGTTTTTCGTTTAGCGGAGACTAATTTAACTCAAGAGTTTTACCGAAGAAGATTTGCTGCACTTGAAAGCAAATTGTGACAAACTGGTTACTAACAAGATGCTATTTTTGGAAGCTAGACGTTTTATCGATTTTTAAAAGTGAAATTTGTAAATCTATGCAGATTTATGCCCTAAGTGCAGTAATAGTTTTGTTTAAACATGTCGATACTGATTTGCCATTTGCGAGTACCTCAGTGGCATCCGTCCAAGTGATCATCATCAAATGATCATTTTCCATTTTGAACATATGAGAAGATGCTTTTTGCGCGGTCTAGTTCCTACCCATGGATAATTTTGAAACTCAAGTGGCGAGTATTCTGCGCATTCATAATCGTAAAATGAAGACTAAAAATTAGCTTTGCTAACGAAAATAGCGGAAATATGATGAAAGAGTTACTTATTCAGTTTTCAACAGAATAAATGCCAGTATCTTTTAAGAAAGTAAATAAACCTCCTGAAACCACAAGTGATTCTTGGCTTGTTCGTGCAAAAGGTAAATTATATGAACAGCCATCAAAAGAATACAGCATTGAAGCTCTTTTTAAATTGGTACCTTGTTAGAGCAATCGATTTAAAACCAAAAATCGTGAAGGCTATACCAATACTTCAAGGAATATCCTAAAGTCAACGTACTACACCAACAGAAAAACGGAAATATATTTTACGGAAAAATCGTTTCTTTAATATACACAAAATGGTAAGTTCACGATTGCGTGTTAACAATATGAACCTATTGAAATTTTGGCAACGGTATAGAGAAGGACCCCAATTAACTGTCAATAGACGGTGGATCACGTCATATGGGGTTATATCCTGGCAAGCATTTGTAGGCTGTTGCAGAACTTACACTTTCAACAACGATCACTTCCCACGAACTCATGTCTTAACTCAGAATCCATTATTTTATGAAATTTACTTGATTGTTTACTTACTACTCTCATTTCCGTTGTCGTACAATAGCGTAGGATAAGACTTGCGGTATAAATCCAGGCAATTTCTGTGTTTTCTTTCATTCTGCCAGCTTACTGCCTAGCGTGCTGCCCCACCCATAAAACGCCCTTTACCATAAATCGCCTATAGCGTGATCCGCAGTCTACTGACAGTTAAGTGGTGTCCTACTCTGTACCGTTGCCGAAATTTTTATTTGCGTGACATCCCAATCATCGAAATGCCCTTTGCTTTTGATAGCTTTATATTAGACAGTGTAAAAATGAAAGCTTGTATCTATTTTGCGCGGAAAGATCAGGAAACCTGCGGCTGGACTTTGGGCAACTGACTTTGTGTTTGACCTTATATGACACTAGGTGTCGAGCATATTTAATGAAAGCGTGTGTGTGAAAACAATAAAGCGGATTTATTCATGTGATACGACTTTTTCCGTCCTCGACATTCGCATTTGTTACAAAATTGTCCTTTTTCATCAATGAAGTAGTGTCAATAATACTTATTTTCCGTTTACATTTAACCAGAGGGTGTTTATTATTAGTTTGACGCTTTTGTGGATGCTTTTGAAACAGTTTCAGATTGGACAGGAGTTCTTTAATAATTTAAGCATATTTCACGCATCAGTAGAAAAGCAGTAAAATACTATCCTGAAATGTCATTATGGAAAACGAGCTGGATGATTTTGCCCGGCTAGGTCAATAATATCGCGGAAGGCGAATATCATGGATTCTTGTATGTCACGGAAACCGAATCCTTGTCTAGAATCTCCAGGGGAAGAGAATACAAAACTGAACTGCATTAAAATTCTAAAAAGTGTACTTGTGGAGCGATTTATGAACAAAATTCTGATATTAAGTGCAACAACTCTATGTGTTAGGTATTGACGGACTGTCAATCGCGAAATAGTGCGTTATGAAACACTTGCCCATTAAGGGTCGACCATATCCCAGAGGTCCATTAGCAGAACTTACACGTGGAAGGACGCAATCCAGTCAGGTAAAATCTACGTCGACGAACACGATTAATAAAGCCTTGGCGTAGACTTACGATGCACTTTAGGGTGAAAGTACGGTATGCGAAACGGTCAGTGGGGAGGATGGGTAGAATAAAGACGCCGACGGGAATCCTATCCCAAGAGACTTCACTAACTCCCTCGCTAACAATAAATCCGGCGCGCTAGGAATCGCGGTCAACTGACTCAAAGCCTGAACTTCCTCAAAAATGACGGTTAAGCGGCCGCCACTTCCAGTTAAGGTGACCTTTAGGACACTCTCAGGTATGTGAGATCCCAGCTACCCAGTACATCTAGAGGGTGAATCAGGTCGCGCACTTGGCACGCGTAGACGGACTGTTTGGCTTTGTCGGACACCGTACTCGCGCCCACCCTCAACTGCTTTGATATTGCTTTTCTATAGACAGTGAAGGGAAGGGAGGATGTGCTACGTCGTCCGTAAGTTATTTTGCGTCCAGTCCGCTGTGCACACGGGGCCGGTTGAAATATCGCCCAGACTCAGGTTAAAAACAACTAGCGGAAAAAACATTTGGTGCATACCAAATACATTCAGACTTAAGAAGCCCGAGTGGTCCACTCCTCCACTCTGAGGCATTCGTCAGATTTCAGGAATTCCAACGTTCTAAATCTAGCCTTTTGGCATCCTTAGCCTACTTTGAGACAACCCTTATACCGCGTTATTCGGATACGACTTATTACCAGAAGGCAAAGTCAAACATGATCAACCAGCATGATTTAATTGCTGTAATTTATAAACCTCCGATTTTATGCTCATTCGCTCTCGTCTTCTTACTTCAATTCCATATTTAGGCATAATTTACTGGTGTAGTGAAGGGACTGCACGCTATGGATTTCGGAATTTGCTTGCATAATCGCCTAACTCCCATACCAATGCGCCTCCCCCTCCCCCTTCCTAAGGTTGAATCCAAGACCTTGTAAGTTTTTTACGTAGGCGAACTAAGCTTGCGTGCAAATAGCACACATACCTGTGCTAGGCAACAGATTAGCAGCAGTGGGAGCACAGAAATATGTGAACTTGCCACGATAAACATCAAACGTCAAGCCTAATGACAAAACAAACTCCATCAATCATACCTGCGGCCACAGGACGAACTGCCTATGCGCGGTCGGTTACTAGTTATCCAATCAGAAACAGAGGGAGGGACGGAAGGTAATCCGCCTAGGCAGGATCTTTTAGTAATTAGTCTCCTGACAGCTATTCTCGCCTAAAAATTCCGCGGTCGGCCCTCACCCAGCTAGGCTATAAAAAACAATAGTGGGATTCGATTGTTATGCGCTTCATTGTGGCCCAACTGTGAAACCCTCGGTGGAATTCGAACCCATGACAGTAAGGGGAGGCTTTAGTACAGTCAACGCTCTAGCCACCCGCGCTACGCGGCCCCGCCGAGAGACGTGAATTTAATCACATTCGGGTAATTTCTTAAAGGCTTGATTTTAAGACGTCATTACCGAACTCACATCTACTCTAACTCAAATTTGATGCACATTTTCAGTTTTTTCTTCGCATTTTCTTGTACACCTGAACTTTACCGTATTCTTGTTTACGTACGGTAAAATAGGAACGACAATTAAACTTGGTTTACAATAACGCGTATTTCGTGTCCGCAGGTTGCCTGATCTTATTGCTTCATCGAGCACGCTCACGTGCCTCAGTCCGTTTTAGTCGATCGCGACAATTAGTTCCGGGCTAAAGTCCGTTAGAAGGGCTTGTCGTTCGTCCGGTGTGATGCAAGGGGGTAAAAGGAACTACAGTGCGTGACTGATCTCATGAAATGTTGGCCAAAATTCTGGAATGCGTTTCCGATTAGGAAGGATTGCTTAAGTGGTGTTATTTACTGATTATCATGAGGCATAACCCTATAACATTTCGGACTCGCCAGGATGTCGGCTTTTGAATGCACTTTTTTGCTACCTCCTGCAGAAACCACACTCGGGAAAACTGACTGCTTAGGTAGAATGCATTTTTCCTATTGATTTTTTGTATTCTCATAAAGTGAAATATATTTTACAGAAAACTTGTACAAAAATATGCTTTATTTTGCCCATTTGGTAGGAAATCACATTGTCTCCATATGCTATGCTTGAAGAAAGTGCGCAATTTGGTTTTAGAAAAGTCTCCAATTATGAGATTTTTAAGACCGTGCGCTGTTCATTCATGCAAGACCGCACATGTCCGTTTACTTATGTTCCTCGTGAACACACTTTCTTCGGGTATACAATATGAAGACAGTGTGATTTCCTACCAAATAAGCAAAAGAAAGCATATTTTCATGCATTTTTTCTGTAAAATATATTTGAATTTATAAGCCTATCGAAAATCAGTAGGAAAAACGCATGCTGCTTAAGTAGTCCTTTTTCACCGAGTGTGGTTTATCCAGGAGGTCAGAAAATTGCATTGGAAAGCCAACATACTGGCGAGTCCAAAATGTTATAGGGTCATGCCGCATGATAATCAGTATAACAAACCCACTTAAATAATCCTAATCGGAAACGCATTCCATAATTTTGGCCAACATTTCATGAGATCGGTCACGCACGGTACTTCCTTTTTCCTCTCTCGCATCACGCCCGACGTGCGACAAGCCCTTCTAACGGACCTTTGCCGGAATGTTTATTCGCGCCACAGCGACCTGATATTGGCGAGAGCTTTATTTGTACTGGGTCTATACAACAATTTGCCTTACCCATACCGTTTCAATGTCGCCATTTGTAGGACACGCAAAGTCCCCCCCTGTCTGGAGTTAGGTTTTTCCCGTATCTACTGCTTCTTTGTAGTTTTAATTGTTGTTTACAATAAAAATTACAGAAGCTACTAGTTAAAAAAAGCTCTTTTTGTGCATTCAAAATACTTGCAAACGCCACGGAAACGTCAGCGACGTGCGCAGAATGAACATCTATTTGATCTAGCTTAAAAGGTATGCACATTCAGTCAGCTGACGAAAGAAACGTGCGCACTAAAAGAAATGGTGCGCCCGATGCAGTCAGGCTTAGAATCAAAACAGCACCATCCCCCCCACCACCACCAATCAAGTTGCGTACTTCTGAGCTGGCGACTTGTCAAAACGCGTATGCTTTTGGGCGTCGTCGCCCATTCCGGAGAGTCGTTTTCTGTAGCGGTAAGCATCCCTCACCTGACAGGAAAACAAAGTGGGCTTCTGCGACAAAGGCCAAAAGGGGAGAGAAGCTCAAACAGCTCCCCCCTCCCTCCCCAGCGTGCTGGCGTCTTCTGTGATAGGCAACCTACGCGAAGGTTGCATGCCACGGACGGTGACAGGCATCAAACTGCGAACTACTAGTAATGGCAGAGCCACAAATCAAAACAACAGTTCAAAGGGTGGCTTGAAACGCGGTTGTTTGCGTACTGTCCCTCGCGCGAGGCACTGTGGCTTACTAATTACTTGCGGTCTTTTAAGCAGCCCTAATCTGATGTTCTTTTGCGTTTTGTCTGCGCAAGGAAACAAAAGGTGGTCCGGAAATATCAAATAATGGCAGGAAATAAGTCAAAGCATGAAATTTTTAGGTGTTGTACCGCGTGTATACCATAGAGGACTACTTACTGCTTCAGCAGTATGGATTTTTTAAATTGATTTTCGATGCCACGCAAAGATATTTCTTAAAAAATATGCATGAAATCATTGATTCTTCTATTACTATGGTATAAAATAAAGTCTTCTTTAAATTTTATATTTGAAGAAAGGGTATAATTCGGTTTTGAGAAACTTTTCAACTCAGAAATCATTTTGAACCTGACCCGCCGCTGCGCTTGCATTCAGGATTTCAAAACCACAGGCTTTATATTTAGCGTTTACGGATAATTGTACATTTCTATACGATATGAAGAGGAGACCGTACGAGGTTCATAAAATTCGACAGCGGATTTGAGCCAATTGCAAACTTTACAAGCAACGAGGTTTCGTTAACGGGCATTTCAGGGTCTTAAAAATCTCATGAGTGGAAATTTTTTTAAAACAGAATTACACCCTTCCTTCAGGTAAAAAATTAAAAAAGACGTAACCGACTTCTAAATGAGTTAAATAATGGATATTCTTAGGCATGTTTTCTATGAAATAGATTTGACTTTATAAGAGCATCGGAAATCAATGAGAAAAAATCACACTTATTGAGTAGTCATTCTCTACAGAGTGTGGTTCTTGAAGGCAGCTGGAAAGAAGTCCATACAAAAGCTGGCATCTTGAAGTGACTGGAGTATCTTTGGATCATATTGCATGGTGATTAATATTAAAACCCTACGTAAGTAATCTTTTCGAGTCAGAAACGCATCTCGGGATTTCGGCTAAAATTTCGTGAGTTAACACATATACTGCAGGAGGCGCGGAGTACTCGGTTATGTCCTCAGACCTCGTGGGAAGGAGAGAGGATCCCGGAAAAGAGAATTTCATCCTTCAGACCATTCGCCTTCACACTCACATCTGTTATTAGAGACAGCCAGAGGTTCCTATCTCTTGCCTTCTCTGATGATGCGTTGTAGTTTCAGTCCGAAATGACAGGCGAATACAACTCATGTTTAAGAGACCGCGCTTCGTATACCTTTAACTATCTCCTGGAAATCACCCCGCATTCATCTGTCTCTCAACCACTTTTTTCACAAAATCTCCTGAGGAGTGCACGAAGTTTTTGAATCTTGAAAATGAACCCTGCGTGATATATCGAGGTCTCTTGACGTCTCCGGCGTTCTAATTCGGCATTCCGTAACACGGAGGCACCATCGCAGTGATCAGTAGGACTTAAGACAAGACAGGCGGCATTTGCAGACGGGGAACCTATTCCAGACCAAGAGAGTCGGCTTGGGGAAAAACGAACAAATGCAGCCCCCTACTATGTGCTAAATGTCATTCTGACCCATTTTCTTTGGATGATTGTGAATACAACTCACGTTTACAGTAGATGTGCTAACTCATAAAATGTCAACCAAAATTTCGAAATGCATTCTCGTTTCGAAAAGATAAATTAAATAGTGTTGTAAAACTTATCAAGATGCAGCATAAATCTATAATGATCCAGTTACCTCAGGGTGTTGGCTTTCGAAAGAACTCATTTTCGGCTGCATGCAAGATCTCTACTCTGCACAAATGACTACTTAAGTAGTATGCAATTTTCTCATTGATTTTCGATGCCCTTGAAAATTCAATTGTATTTCATGGAAAACATGCATAAAAATATTCCTTCTTTTACTTATTCGGTAGAAACTCACGTCTTTTTCCAAATTCATACTCGAAAGAAGAGTATAATTCGGTTTTAAAAAAGTTTCTAATTGTGAGATTATTTAATACCGTTCAATGGCCGTTCATGAAACGTCATGTATCTGCTCTTACGAATGTGGCTTGTAAAGTTAAATCTTAAATCATTTTCTTTATGAGAAAATTGCGAACTGCAAGTTAGGGGGGCTGGCGTCCAGCATGCGGCCATTGCACGCTGATGCAGGCGCCAGGATATGCCTGCATTCCGACATTATGCTGCCCCACTGATGTTTCGGGCGGTCGGATCCACAGTCCATTAACGAGGACTGAGTGCAAACGATATTCCTAGGTAAGAACGGCCGCCGTATTCTTAGCGGCGGTCTGGACGATCGCAGCACTTTGTCCGCCCTCCTAATTACTTAGCCGCCGCTTCAGCCGGTAAACATGCCTACCACTGTTCTTATGCGGGAGGTGGCGTCGACGTACTGCAGGCAGACCCAACGAAACTGCTGCTTATCATTTAGTTGTCAGATCGGCGCGCCCTTCGTGACCATCTTGTGTGCAAGTAAAGCTGACGGGGCGATCGTGCTAGTTGTGGCGTCTGCCTTTTCCTCTGCATAGCCTACTATGTCCGCTTGCTTAAAGAATACTCCGTAGACTGGTGGTATGACGGTTGTCCGATTTTGTGTCCGGGAGCCGTGCAGGCTCGTATCAGCTTAATTGAGTTCTCACTCAGATTGGCAAAGTGGAGAGATCCGGGTTTATTATTTGAAGAAGATGGACTCACCAGAAAAGGTTTATTTAGATGCTGACTTTTTGAAGAGCTTGGTCGGCTCTTCATTGACAAAACGTAAATTGCACTTAATTGACTAGAAATCCCGGGTGGCATGTCACGTAGGTCGGCCTCGTGTTAATCGATTTTTCTCCCCTCTCGCTGCCTCGGCCTCTCGGGGTATGGTTGACGGGCGTTTTGTCTGCGTGCTTTGTGAATTATCACTCCGCCGGGGGGAGGTGATTGAACCAGTGTCGGGTGGTCGGCCTGACGGTTCTTGTTCTTCTTCACCGAGTAAACTCGCCGTCGGGCTGTCTCCGTATGGCCTTCTTAAGTCCAGTGTGGTTGTTTGGCCCTGAGCTCTACGATTGAGTTCTCACTCTGCTAATGCTATACAGAGACACTACAGAAACCGATTTGTGGAACTCACTCGTTCCGCTGTGCCTTGGGGCTCACTTTCTCTCTCTCTCTCCCTGTCCCTCACCACCAGCAGCAACCACACAACGGCGAATGATATGGGCGAAATGACATTACGGACAAAGACAAGGACAGCTGGAATGGCCATTTCTGACTTATTAGCCGGTCGTCACCCAGTCGTACCCAAAGCTGCGGCGTACAACACGTGGGGTTCCATCCCGCGACCTGTTGGTTAGAAGTCCAAAGCCCCTAACCACTGTGCCCGTAAGGCACAACGGGACGAGTGTGTTCCGTAAGAACGATCGGTGAGCGTGCCTTTACCATTGTATATTCCTGATGGCAACCGATAGGACAAAAAGCCCGTGGCTCAGTGGTTAGCGGCGTTGGACTTCTAACTAACAGGTCGCGGGATCGAGCCTCGGGTGTTATCCACGTACACCAGCCTGCGGCAGAACGCGTTAACCCTAACTCAGGTGGTCGAAATGCAGAAAAAGGTCGAGTCTTCGACTTCGAACGTAAAAGGATTTTGCATATTTCGAATGATTTCCACTAAGGCTAATTACAAACTTGAGTGAAATACGGCTGGGAAGGCAGCTAGACAGATACCTGGTGCCTGTGCAACCGTTTGCAGTCGAGCTGGTACTCGAAGCCCATTGGAGAATTCGGTCCAATCAATTACCGGGAGCGTTCTCTTGCCTCGGTAGCGATCAGCAGTTTGATTACAGCCTGAGTCTGATTCTGCACTCTGAAGTACGTCGTCTGGAATGTAAAACCAGAAGTAATGAAGGCAGAAACTCGTGTGGATAGCGAGTTATTTAGTTTTTGAGTTTATGTCTACGTGTGTAAATTGTGCTACACTTAGTGCACTTTTTTGAAGAACGACATGCAGATTTTGCAAAAGTTTGTTCTCCTGCTCAGGGGCCCAATTGCAAGTGTAAATCGTCACTAATCGAAAAGGGATAGGAAACACTCAATTCATTCTCGAATCCGGGGTGTTCGACAATTTTCTATGCAACGTTCCAGCCTAAGGGTATAGTGCGCAGGAAATGCGTTTTCTTGAACAAACTGTGTCAAGCACCACGATCCCAACACAAAATTATGACGAATGCTTAGGTGGTGTCGGAATGGCGCGATAAAACTAGTCATGAAAGGAGAACTTTGCGAACTGACATTATACTTTAAATTAGTCCCAGCAGGTGAGATGTGGTTTGGTAGCCCCACCTGATGGACACAATATTGCAGGGGTTGGGGTTAGGGGTTAGGGCTTAGGATTAGTGGTTATAGTTAGGTCAAAAGAAGAGTGGGCGTTCACCGGGAGGGGTTTATTTGAGATCCGACGTTTCGGGTAGTTTACTCGTCTACCCATCTTCAGGGACTGGGAGGTCCTGTGCACAGCACTCCTTATTATGGCGCCCTTTGTCCAATGCGTGATCCGCCAATGCCGCCTGTGTGGCTGCATCCAACCCGCATGTCACCGTGACCTGAATCGCCCCCGTCGGCCGCGGTGATGACTGACGGCCCCGATTGTCCCGCGCCGTGACTGTCCCCCGCTAAGAAGGTTCGTAAAGTCAGATAAGGGGGAGGCAAATTGATGTGGCGGTTGACAGAGCGGTCGGTGGACATCCAGGCTTCTTGCACTTGCCTTGCTGTGTGATCGCTGCCCCGGCCCACAATCTCAACGGCGTCAAAGTTGAAGATGTGTCCCATTTGCGCGGCGTGGGTTGCTACCTCCGACTTTGGGTCCAACCTTCGCACGGCCAACTTATGCTCGTGCATTCGCGTTTGCAGCCGTCGGCCGGTTTCCCCAACGTATTTGCAACTTCCGCAGCTGCATTGAAGTCGGTAGACAACGGCCGACATCTCCTGCTTAGGGATCGGATCTTTCGGCCGCATCACTTGCCGGCGGATTGTTGAGTCAGGCCTGTGGGCAACACCTATTCCGAGTGGCGCGAGTGATCGAGCCACGACTTCGGAGACCCCTTTAATGTACGGAATGCTCCGCCACGAGTTTGGCTGACTGTGCTCCTCGTTCCGTTTCTTTGGCTGCCTCCGGCTTCGTTCAATGAATGCCCGTGGATAGCCATTGGCTCTGAAAAGTTCTCGGAGGAGCTTAATCTCATTCAGTTTGGCGGCTGGCGTGCTGCACTGAGTTTCCACCCGTCGGTACAGCGTGCGGACACAGCTTCGTTTGTGTTGTGGCGGGTGGTTGCTGTTGTAGCTGAGAATTTGCAGCGTGTTCGTCGGTTTTCTGTAGACCGACGTCGCTAGTTCGCCATTTGGTTGGCGGCAGACGAGAACATCCAAGGATGGAAGTTTGTCCTCCACTTCCTCTTCCATTGTGAACTGTAGATCGGGCATGATTGTGTTTAGTACTTCCGCATAGTAGTTGGTTTTATCTTGGTCTATGATCACGAGGTGTCGTCAACGTAGCGTGCCCAAAACTTAGGTTTGTACTCCTCGAATAGTCGTCTCTCGAGTTTTTGTAGAACCGCCTCGGCAATGAGTCCGGAGATTGGTGAACCCATTGGAGTGCCCTTGATCTGCTCGTATGTGGTCCCTTCGAAGGTAAAGAATGTCTTGAGGCAGT